CCCTAGACCGAAACTCGTCCGGGAAAGTTGAAGGGTGGTGGGTTAAGGCCTCTCCTATTACTTTTTAAGTTTGTCACGCATTATCTGTATCCCTGTGATGGGTGCTTTAGCGACCATGTTTCATTAACTGTACTGTCATATACAAAGGTATCATCCTGAAACACGGTAAGAAGCTACTGTATTGGAAGTCCCCTTAACGCACATAGTATTTCCTTTGCTGTAAGACTGCTGTTACTCAAAATGCATTTTCATTCGGGCATGCACATCTAAACCCTTGAGAGGTTTGGAGGTAGATAATTTTGCAGCTTTGCTCTCTACTCTTGCATCAGTTCTCTTTGATTATCTTAGGACTGTGAGGAGAGCACCGAGGTATTGAAGAGAGTGGCAAGGTAGCTTAACAAATGCTGATATTACCAACCTTTTCATTATATGGCACTCACCATTCACTGATCCATTGCCTGAGAAACAACAGTTTCTAAATTGAAGCTAATTACATACTTCTGTATAAGAGCTTTGCAGATTTGTACCATGGATGGTTCTGAATTTCCTATCCAGACTATTTCCAGGTAGGCTCTGGGGTAAACCCAAGTGTGAATACGCTCTTCGAGATAGCTGCTACAAGCATAAAAGGAAGTAGATTTAGAGTTGGATTTTAGGTATTTTTACCCAGTCTGTTTCGCCTGTTTTTACACAGGCTTCTTGCATGACTAAATCTTTTAAGCAAGATGTTTCCCTTTTGGTTAAAGGAGCTATGGGTATTTCCAATTGCCTTTGCTTGTTTTCTCCTTGTTTGGGCTTGTTATTTTCAGACTGCCAGTAGGTGGCTAGAGCAAGATAAAACTGCTGTTTAAATTGTCTTTGTGTATACTTCAGCTAGAACGTACTGCTATAAGAGTACAGCATCTTCCACTAAAACGCATTTAGACTCTTACCAAGCACACTGATATTTTTTTTTTTTTTTTTTTCCCCCAGATCTGTCAGCTCACCCTAGAGCTGCCCCTAAACCCACTGGCTGCAAGAATCCTGTGTGAAGTAGCAGCTGTAGAATGTAAACCTAGGACTCTGGTAACAGCTTTCTGTTCTGCGCAGCTTGAACTTGTATCAGTTATGTTCCTCAGCCCACCAGTTAGCTTAGATCCTAGTAAGACATTCAAGCATCTTTTCCACTTTGTTTTGCTGGAGGCTAAGTAACTTGATCACATGCATGAAGCCTAAGGTAGCATTTAACTGGTGTGCATTTCCAGCTTATTTTAATATATGAAAGTTTTTGTGAGACATGCGTGTACACATTTGAAACAGTTTCAGATTGTTGCAGTAGCTCCACTGTAAGAGGGTATTTTTGGAGAAAGCATTATGGATGTAGCAGAACTACAGTTTGAGGAAGGGAGTTTGATTGCGGACGCTTTGCTGTTATTCAGATCATCCATAAAAGCAAAATAGCCTGAGGGAATATTAAGACTTTAACCTGTAAAAAAAAAAAAAAATAAAAATTTCACTGCAATATTTAAAGAGTACAACTGACAAAAGCATGCAGTAAAGAGTCAAATGCCAAGAGCTGCTATATATGGTAATGTATTTTTTACATATATATAAAAATATCTAAGTTGTTAAATGGTATGATTAATCCTGGAGGTGATAGCTGGTCTTCATTTTGGGGCTGTGGCTTGTAAAAAGTATTTTATATAGTTTGCAGGTAACTAATCAAGCATTTCTGCTATAAGAAAAGCTTACGCAAAGTAGACTCCCTAGAAGAAGTCAGATGCTTCCTCTGGTTTGCAAGCAGAACTACCAATGCACCAGTTGTGCTGTCTAGCAGTGTTAAAGCTCTTTGCAGTGTTACAAAGGGTTTGAAGGAGACTCTGGAAGGCTTTCATGGTATAATTTCAGGTCAATACAGAAGGGAACAAAACCCAGCTCTTCCCAACAGTGAAAATTTTCTGTGTTCATTTAAGTATCTAGTTTAAGCTTGTTTCTATGCAACTGAATGGCCATTTAGTTGAATTACAGTGTTTTGGACTCATTGTAGTACTTACTTTAAACAAGCAATGCCATTACCATTCCCTGCTTTGGTGCTAAAAAATTTCTAGGGTTCCAACCATGGAATCTCAGGTAATTCACTCATGTCAATTCTATGACAGAAAATTTAATTTCACCAAATTTAGTGTAACAACAAGTTCTTCAGACATGGTTTTGTAAAACTCTACAGCAATACCTGTCTTGCAGTGCTACTTCATATCCACTAATAGGAAAAGAAACTATAAAGCATGGCCAAAGAACTTTAGCAAGAACTTTATTCTATGAGGCACTTACATTCGGTATCATGTATAGTAAGGTATAGTGAAAAACAAAATACCACAAACAACTGGTAAAGAAAAAAACATATAAATACTTCCAGAGGAGAAATCACATTATAGTTCATGAGCCTAGTACGTTTTAAGCTTTTAGCATGGCTTCCACTCCCTGTTCACAGATGCAGCGTTTTAATTTTCAGTCTTCTCCTCCTGTGGTTTTCTAAGGCAGAATCAGGGCACCAGGAGAGCAAATCAAAATGTACAAGTTAACTAAGGTCTGACAACTGGAGATAAGCAATGAAAGATGACTACAGAGAATAAACCCCAAATAATTCAGATAGCAGGTGATTTCAGCTTGTCACCCAGCAGGTAGCTGAACACCACACAGCTGTCTGCTCACTCCCTGCCCTGGTGAGATGGGGGAGAGAATTGGAAAAAAGGGAAAACTCGTGGGTTGAGATAAAGACAATTTAATAGAACGGAAAAGGAAGGGGAAATAATAATAATGATAAAAGAATATACAAAACAAACTATGCACAATGCAGCTGTTCACCATCTGCTGACCGATGCCCAGCCAGTTCCTGAGCAGTGGCTGCACCTCCCTTGCCCCCCACCAGTTCCCCCATGTTTTTTGTTCAGCATGATGTCATATGGTATGGAATACCTCTTCGGCCAGTTTGGGCCAGCTGTCCTGCCTGTGCCCCCTCCCACCTTCTTGTGCACCTGGCAGAGTATGGGAAGCTGCAAGTCCTTAAATCTAAGCACTGCTTAGCAACAACTAAAACATCAGTGTGTTATCAACATTATTCTCGTACTAAATCCAGAACACAGCACTATGCCAGCTACGGGGAAGAAAATTAACTCTATCCCAGCCAAAACCAGGACACAGCTAGAGAAGTCGGAGATGGAACAGATGACAGAAGTACAGGCTTGGATGTTTCTCAGCCTCACAGAGGTCATGGGAACAGATGACAGAAATACAGGCTCAAATATCTGTCAGCCTCGTGGAGGGCATTTTAAATAAAAAGGTTTGTTGGGCATACTGACCCTATCTGGGGAACTTTCTTTTACTTTTCATTAGAATGGACTAAATGAAAGCGAAGATGAATGCAGTAACCAAGTTGTGCCACAAGACAAATACAAATCAACTTCTTTGAATAATACATCCTTTTTATGCATATAATACACAACACAAAATGTTTTATTTGAAAAATAAACATTTGATTCATTTTTAAAATAACATAGCAACTACATTCCACCATTTTGTCAAATCAAACAGATATCCTTAGGTTGCAAAGTGTTCATTTTAATGGTCAAGCCTTAAAAGGATCAACATATTTGATCTGAAAAGTGCTGCAGAAGTAAGGTTGATATAGAATCAGGTAGAACGATGTAGTGCAGATGTATACCCTTGCTAAGGGTTTGGGCTTTCTTGTTTGTTTGTTTTTGTTTTTTTAAAAACAAACCCATGGGACAGCATGCATCAGGGAGACCTGAAGGCAACTGTACCAGAAGCATGAAAGTACAGGCTATTTAAGATGCCACGTTAATGCACAGAAAACAGTCTTTCCTGTTGGATCTATCAGACGCATCAACTGCTAGTAAACCTAAAATATGACGTATTAAAAATCATCTGAGAATTCAATACAACTCTTCTGCACTTCTGATTTGGAGTTTTCTTAAAAATTTTAAAATGGCACTAGTGTTTTATGATAGCATACCCTGAGCAGATGTACACCAAAGGAAACGAATTTCAGTTTCCAAGCTTCTGGCGTAAAGGGGAAGAGAAGGAAGGCGTGTTTCCTTTCTACAATAGGAAGAATATCATAGTGCCTTTCAAACCAGTATATTCGTGTCAGTGTTTAATATATTACTGTCTGAAAAGCATAAAGCTTTGTACCCAAACACTTGCTTCATTCCAGCTGAATCTTGGACTTTATTCCACACCATGAGATCCCAGGATCTTCTTTCAGAGATCTGTCTTATCCTCATAACGACACATACATGCAGCTCTCTGGCTATCCAGGTATGGTTTACATCCTAAATGTATAACCGCATCAAACAACAGCTGAACAGTTGATTCACAAGCTGCAAAAGAGGAGTTAAGTTAAAAAGTACTCTTTGAATGGAATATGAAACTAACAGAAATTACTCTGGCAAACTGAGAATGATTTTAAGAAAGAATCAGTCTTCTCTGGGCATAGCAAATAGATTGTCAAATGAAAGACTGAACCAATACAGAATCATTTAAGTTGTGAGTAAAGACTTTTCATATGCCAACCAAAAGGAACAAGAAAATTCACTGCATGTGCAATCTTATCAGTGTTAGAAGCATCACTTAGTCTTGGGAAGATGAAAGAGCTGTTTTACCCCCTCACTTTTTGCATCCCAATTTACGCAGAGGGTGCTATCTTTAATAGCACCTCAACAGAACTGAGCAAATATTCACCAGTTCTAACACTAAACACTAACATGATGACTTCTTTGCAGCTAAATGAATTTGAGAAGTTCAAACATAGGCTTGTCCTAAAAACTGCTCTCAGTGGCACTACGTACTGTAAGTGACGTTGTCCAAGTTAAAAAGTATGGCTATGTCATGTATTGATCAGACGCAGGCCAACAACCAGGAGGAGTATCATACGTCCTGTTACGGAAGAACCTACAATTTATTCACTAAGGGATAGCATTAACTACTTCCACTATAAAAATGTGTTATTCTAATATCTTTAAAAAAAGAAGGAAGCAATTCAGTAGTTTCCTACAGTTTAATAGCAATCACACATAGTAGACATTTAGAACTCACTTAGCAGAACAGTGAATATTCAGCTATACTACAGTAAATGCAAGAATTATACATGCATTTTGATCAAGTTGTATTCCTGTATTCATACTCCTAAATGGGAAGCATTAATTTTCCTCCCCAAGGTTAGTTTTAATCCTGATCATTTTCCTATGCTGTGTCATTGCTCTGCTGTACAAGTGTCTGGGCTGCACAACAGAAGGACAGAACAAGGCATCTTTCAGCAATAGCATCAGCTTATGAAAATGGGGCATCACTGTGCTGCACAAAGATTCTTTGCCAAGTAAGCTCAGTTAAACGTGAAAGAAAAGAAAGGCTTTTTCACACTTACCCTGGACACTCTCTGAGATTCCAAGTGTTTTCTGCACATCTCTGCAAATTTTGGAGAGGCAGGACTGAAACTGCTCATCACAATCATTTTTTTTATTGCCACAAGTATCATAGCATCTGTCGTGGTGATTGCAGCACTTTGTCATCGAAGGGATACCAATGTCAAACTGTGAAGAAAATTCCCGCCCAATCCATTGTTTTCCAGTTAAGAAAGATACAGCCTATGAATAGGCTATAACAGTTAGAAACCAAAACCGAAGACAATCAATCCAGCTGCCATTCACTTATCTCTGTATTTTGCTGTTTGCCTCTAGTAAGCTGTGGTGGTTTGACCCAGGCCAGCAAGCCAAGCACCCAATGGAGTTTCTTGCTCAACCCCCAACCCCCTCCACAGAACAGAAGAGCAACAGCAAGAAAACTCGTGGGTCAAGATAAGGACAGTTTAATAGGTGAATGAAAGAGGGAAAAAATGCCCCAAAATAAGCAGTGTAAAAGCAATCATTCACCACGTCCCACAGGCAGATGCCCAGCTACTCTGAGCAACAGCCACTTTGGAAGCCAAACACACCACCACCCCCCTCCCTTTTTCCACTACTCCAGTTTTTATTGCGGAGCATGACTGTGCAAGGCGGAATATCCCTCTGGCCAACTCAGGTCAGCTGCCCCAGCTGTGTCCTCTCCTAGCCTCTTGCCCAGGCCCAGCCTACGCTCTGGGGTGGCTGATGGCTAGAGTGGGGAAAAAAAAGGGAAAGTCCCCAAGCTCTGCAACAGCTTTCAGCACCAGTCAAAACCATCAACAGTTTTAGCCAAAAATCCCAAACAGCACCATGCAGCCCGCTGTGAAGAAAGTTAACTCCATCCCAGCCAGAGCCAGTACATAAGCTAGCCCATATTTTCTTTCTAGCATTAAGGAAAATGGGTTAGCGTCGGTAAGAACAGCAAGAGTCAGAGCCAAACCCTCCACTCTCACAGGGCTACAGTCAGGGTTATTCAACGCTTGCAAGATCGTGAGAACAAAACATGATTAAAAAAATTAGAAATTGGTCATCATCATTCTATTTTACCCCTATAATACTTTATTTCAATTATGAAAATGTTTATGCTATGTTCGCTTATAATACTACTATTTTCCCTATGTTTTTACCAAAGCATGTGCTGGAGCTGATAAAAGCAGGGATGCTGTACATGGATGCTGTCTCATCCTTAGAATGGGGGAGGGAAAAACCTGCCCATATCGAGGAGAGTTGATGTATGAAGGACAAACAAAGAAGCCCCCAAATGGAAGTACTTGCCTGAACTCCAAATAAAGGCGATCCACAACCATTTGGTGGTGAAGGCTTATATCCGTAGCGAGGAAGGGGCTTTGATCCTGAAAAAGGTAATTTATCATGCCTCAGATTTTTTGCGCAGATTTCAGTACGGTCAAAACTCACCACAGGCATTTCTTGGTCTTGAGACAGTATGTTTTTAACTTAAACATGTATTCAGGCATCTGAGTATCAACAATTACTACCGAATTACAACTTGGGGGTACTAAGCATTTTTTTTTTTTTAAAAGGGGGACAAGACACCTGAGCAAGTGTTAATGTTAGCTTCCCAGCAAGACAGGGAATTCTACAGCCCAAGTTAAGGCAGGTTGTGGAGTTAATTTGAGAAATGACCCTTCACCTTGTTTCGGTATCGGAAACAAACTGAAGCCACAATTAAAAGTAATGGCGAAGAAAAAACGTATTTGAAATGTGCATATCGTAGCACAGAGGGGAAACGCCAGGGTGCCCTGGCCTCTCCTGTGGAGCCAGTCGGGGTGCCACCACCAAACCCATCTCCCGACCCAGCCAACAGTCCCACCCGGTGCGCCGGGGCAAGCCGAGCCAGCCGAGAGAGACCGAGAGGATCCACGTGAACCTCCCGATTCGGGGCGCTCCCGCAGCGCCGCTGAAAAGCCGGGCAAGAAACCCCTCGCCTGGAGCATCGCCG